ATCCCATCTCTTCTGTTAACTATAGTTTATCTGTATATGTAATGCATGGAGTAATATAACTTGGCTTTCAATTGACTAAACTGAAAACCTGCCGATCACTTTGTCCGGTGACGATTTTTTTTAAACTATGAGGATGATGAACAACAGCCAAATGCTTGCTCATTTTTAGAGGTCTTTCATGCTACATAAGCCATTATTAATAAATTTGTTAAAAAAAAAAAAACACAAAGTACGATTTATCCAATTACTCAATTAATCGATAAAAATCAGCAGATACTCCAAGTTGCATTTGGACCTGAAAAACTAGTGTCGAGCCGTACACCTAGTATTCAGTGATCATATTTTCTTCTGTGAGTTCAAGTACCCATCATGCACTCACCTTCTCGTACAGATACATGGACTCTCCAGCTCGAGCGTCCATTTGAATGCTTCCCCAGAACCACTGCCAAAAATGAACAAAAGAGGACAACGTGTTTTGTTGATACTTGATAAAAAAAAAAAAGAGAGCTATTTCTGATACCGTTATAATACACACTGAGGCAAGGGGAGGAATAAAAAGTCTGTATCGATTGTACAGCTATAAGCACCTCTAAACCACCACTACACCGCAGTCCAATTTATTCGTGTGGTGGAAAGAAAATCTATTATTGATAACCATCTCTGACAGTCCTGACGAAGACTGTATTGATTGTGGTTTAGCCTGAAAGAATCCAGACCGGATTATCATTCCACTTCCTTTTTGTCAGGGGGAAAAAAATGGACAGGATTCATTATGGTCCGTAAAGCCGTTTCATCGTCAGTTTGGTGGAAAATATGTTTTGCATAAGATGCTAAAAAGAAATACAGATTTAATTTATTTTAAGTTATTCTTGCCTTAGGTTTTTTTTTAAATGTATGGCCATTGGGGTTTGAAAAGAAATGGACAGGCCTACCTCCTGTTTGACCACAAATAGCTTTGTACAGGGAGTGAACGGCAGCTCCTTCACTGAGTTCTCCTCCACCACCATGTGTGTACAGCGCTCGTCTTCAACCTCCAGATATCTGCCACCTTATACACAATAAAATAAAAAATAAAAAAACACAGAAATGATGTACACCACAACAATCCACAGTGCTCAGATAATTACATTTCATTTTTTGTTTTACATTTTGTATCATTTTATAAATTAAATATCGTCTCAGTAACAGTCCAAGTGCTGTCGGCACCAGTCCTAAAAACCGGAGACACACGGCACTAACCATGCTTCAAAGTGCGCTCCTGCATGTTGGCCTTTTCTTCTTCTGAAAAGCCCAGGAAACTCAGGACGCAGTCCTGAAACGGAGGAACTTTGAACTCCGTTCGAAACTCCTCATGTCCAGCATGAAAGTTTCTAAGGGCAGGAAACAAACATATTTATCAAAACTTGTGTCCTTACTCCATCATTACTATACATTTATTTGAATTCAACGGATTTAAAAATCGAGAAAATGATTTCTACATTCCTGTGGAAAAGCTTGACTCGAGATGGGACATTACTGCTAAATTGTCGTATATAACGGTATATATTTTTTTGCACTATAAAAAAAAA